AAAGTCTGGTCTACATTTAGTGGTTTGCAGTGCCACTTTGAAACATTGCATAATACACATTTCTGTACAGAGTAGATGTCATTAGAGCTGTGACAAAACATGGCAAATGAGACCTTATCTGAAAGGCCATGCTCCTGTCTGTTTGATGAATAACAAGTAACGTAGGAGTAACAAAATTTCAAACAACAGCAACACCTACAGTTATAGTCATTGTTTGACTTTAAATCCAGTACATACCCCAAACAATAGAAAATGTGTCACCGCCCAAAACTCACTGTTCATTCGCTCAGTGGTTGGACACAATAGACAGCAGCGGTTCATTTACAGGATCATTTTGGTTCATGAGGGTCTCATTTTTGTAGTTTTTAGCCTTAAGAGGATGTAGGCTACAGACAGTTTTAAACATTGAGCATTACAATGAACGTGTCATTATTCACGGATTACAATTTATGACTCACAAGGGAAAAAGTTGAGTTGTTAAATCATAAAACACCCTGTCTCTCGTATCAAGAACACAGTAACACTATGTGTAGGGCCAACTATATTGCTAAAAGACACAAGTGTATGCGCACGTCACCCCCATTCAGGAGGCAGAGATAGAAGGCTGCCAGAAGTGATAGAGAGACAGAGAGGTTCTGTTTTTATGATCCAGTTAAGCATAGTCATGTGTTGTTAACAATGAGGAGCTGATTCATTATACCTCCTGTCACCTCACATCAAATATGATCAATGTGACCTTGCTGTTTGGACCAAGTTTGTACTGAGAGTGCTTTAGTATGTGCAGCTGCACACCACTTAATGAAAATGCACTTAAACATTTTGTACTGTTATACTGCTAATGCAAATTTTAGTTGCTTTTCTACATCAAGAGGACAGTATAATTTGCACGTGATGACTTTAATTTGATTGTACTTAAGGAAATTTGTAAAACAATAATTTCAGGCAGCCATTCATTTGCTTTTAACAATCTATGTACCGTTTGTTTCTAATTCGTTCAATTAAATAATAATGACTTCAGCAACTTGACAAGTAAAGCTGGAATTTTATAACTGAGTATGTGTTGTATTTAAAGTTGTTTCACTTCATTTTGTTGATATGTAGGCATTAGATCATTGCCCAGCCATTACATGAATAAATGTTTTGCTGAAGTGGTAAAGTAAGCTAATGTTAGCATAGCATTAATGAACAGGTGTGACCTCAGAATGGAGCTGTAAGCTTGGATCACGTGAGTTAAATTCAAGGGTGACAAATTTTCACAACAGAACATACCACGTCAGTGGAAAGTTTTTAAACCATTACATGTCTGGCTGTCCATCTGTTAAATCAGTGTACCAACAATCATAATCTCAACAAAACATGGCTAAATACACTGCTTCTGTCCTGTTGTCTAAAGCTAGATAGAGCTTAAAAGGTCTACAAAGAAGAGAACTAAAAGTCACATTTCAAGCATACATCCAAGTTTTCAAAAAATGCAATTGGTTGTTTCATTAAAAATATTCACTGACCCCAGCTAATGAATACTTTTCTGCAGAATGGCCCAGAAGCAGTACATGACAATGAATGATTTCTGTCTCAAATATGCACACACACTCTCCCCGTCAAGTTTTACCTCTAATCCGGTTGTTGTTGGAACACTAAAAATTTGGACACATATAAGACGCCACTTCAGATGGCTGACCCTTCCTCTACCAACTCCTATTTGCAATAATCACCTGTTCATTCCAGCAAAGATTGACCTATGATTCTCCGTCTTAGAAAACAAAGGGCTACGTAGTTTGGGAGACTTGTACATTGAGGGTATATTTGCGAGCTTCAACCAATTAATCTCTACCTTTAATCTACATAAATCAGACTTTTTCCGGTACTTCCAGTTGCGGGACTTTGTAAAAACACACGCTAAGCCATTCCCACAAATACCAACACCCAGCGGGATGGACCTGGCTCTCAAGGCTAAAACCCTGTCAAAGGGCCATATCTCCTATTTTTATAATTTACTGTCCTCAGCCAGTGAATCTATTTTACATAAGATCAAGATGAACTGGGAGTCAGAACTCCAATTGAATTTCTCTGAGATCTTCTGGGAGGGGGCTATGGGGGCTGTTAACTCGTCATCCAGCTGCACTAGACTGTCACTAATACAATTTAAAGTCTTCCACAGGTTACACTATAGTAAGGAAAAACTATCAAAGCTCTATCCAGACAAATTTGATAAGAAATGTAGTAGATGCTCGCAGACTCCATGCAATCTTACCCACATGTTTTGGGCATGCCCCAAGTTGTCTGAATTCTGGGGGGGGGGATGTTGTTCATTTAAGTTCTCAAAAAAAAAAGAAAAGACATTGTATTCCTGTATGCACTTCATGTATGTGTCTTGCACTTGATAAATAAAAGTTATAAATATATATATATATATATATATATATATATATATATATATATATATATATGCACACATACTAAAAAACACAGGGTTAAAATTGACCCATTGTGTTGTCACTGTAGAACAGACGTTGTTGAATTAATCCCGTATTGCATTAGTGCTATATTGACCCCACATGGGTTACTTTTAACCTAGTGTTTGTGTCTATGCTTAGGAAGTGTTACAGAGGTTAACTGAACATTTTATAATGAAAACTTTTTTTCTAATCTACCTCTATTGTGTGTGCAGGTAAAGACACATAGTGTTAGCTTAGCTTATGACTATTAGACTCTAAATGCTCCAAAGGTTGCAATTAGCTTTACTTTGCAGAAAAATGCAGGGTTTGAGTTATGTAGGAGCAAGTGGGAGCTGAGCTGCCATAAAAAGAGGTCTGAGCTCCCATGATAGCAGTGAAATCATACATCTGTGTGGGTCATTATTACACTAACAACAGCCATTGTTTTAATCACAAATAATGCATTTTTCAATGTAATGAGTATTATTTCTCTCTGTATGGACTGCTTGCTTTCTAAGCAAAAAACATTGTATCCTCCCACTTGTGCTGCACTTACCAGCAGCCACTTTTCTATGAAGAAGATATATTTTAAAACACACGCTAACCTTCAGTGCTGATGATTCAAGTGAATGCTCATTGTAAGTGCTTCACCTGTCAGCAACCTAACATTTTAAATTAAAAAATGTTTATAGTTTATACATTTTTTAAAATATATTTTCTTACAGTGTTTATAATTTTCCAGTAACACATGCAAGAGAGGGGCATTAGGACATCTCAGTACGTTTCAAACCCACTTCAGTTCAGACAAATGGCTCCTATGAAGCAGTGAATGATAGGCCTCAGTTTTTCCTTGCAGGTTCTGTGCCAAGATCGCGAGTGATGAATAATGCAGCCTTTAAATTCTGAATTTAACTGAAAGATGCATTTGCAGAATCTCTACTATTAGCCTTAGTGTTCCGGAAGAGAGCAGATATAATTATAGAATCTGATTGCTCTCCATCTCCACCATCATCTCTGACGTGTTGTTTACGAAATACAAATCAAAGGGATAAGAGACTAGCACCCACCTGCTCACTCACCTGCATATAAATGGGAATATTTAGCAAAGACAAAACTGAATCCCAAATACCCTGTGAGTGGGAGAAACAACAAGAGTTAGAATGTTCCAGGCCTACACATCTAATTAACAACGTTTGACCTGGACCAAGTTTAGAATTTGAAACAGCTGGGTGCCCACTGTTAAAGCCACTATCCCAAGTCCTGAAGGAGGTTTTTAATGCTTGAGTTGTCTTCTCTATCTCTGTGACTTAGAAATACGGGGGGTACGAAACTGTATGCGCTGGATGGGGGCTGCTGCAAATATTACAGTAAATTACTGCTGATTCTGTCTGATGTGTTTTTGTTTTTGAAGCACAAATTACATGGGATGTAACCCTCTCCCTAACAGCAGTTGCTATAGCAGCAGACTTTGTATGACTGCAAGAAGATAACATGATTGGTAGTTACAACAAAGCTCACAAGAGCCACACGCTTTTAAACAACCAGATCAAATAAATGAGTGTGCAACATTTTAGGATGATGCGTCAAATATGGTTAACATTCTTAATGCACTTGACTGGGTGGTTAGGCAAGTTACCTTGTTTGGTATGTCACTGGGCTTAAATACAACAGTTGAAGTATTTTGTTTGATGAATGATAAAGCAGCAGCAGTAAGACTGAATCTAGTAAGACATTTTTGGATGTTACACTGTTGTGCCGGTCGATGCTGTTCATGGCAGTAAAGAAGCACAGCTTAGAAAATGCTCCCAGCAATAGAAAGTGAAGAGAAAAAGCTATTTATTATGTAAAGTCCTGATAAGAAAGTAAACCCTTTTTACCCTTTGACTGAATTTTTACCATTAATTTCCTTTATCTGCATTTACCTGGTTTTACAAATAATCAAATGAGCCTCCCTCTGCTGCAGTGACTGCCGTAAAACAATTCAGCTATGAGATATGCTGAAAGCTGAGATAATCCACTCAAAATGATCACACAAATCATTAGAAAGGATTTATGAATCAAAGATACAAAGCTCACCATTCTGCAGCCAAGAGCTTAGCAGCTGTTAAAGAGAACAATTTGTCTGCTTTACTTATTGTCAAGGCTCCATTATCAGTTTGTGTCAATTGAGTCAGTTGTGATTGGTTACTTATCTAAGGCAAGTTTCAAATGCTTGAAAGTAAATTTTCTTACCATAGCTAGAGTAAATGTTCATGGACAGTATAAAATAAATGTGATTTGTAGTTACTGGGCTTTGACACAAAACCACAAGTCGAAGGAGTTCACATATTTTCCAAGCTTGTTAAACGAGGCAAACATGCCAGTGGATATGTATGACAATAGCAAAGGCAGATAAAAGTGGTTAGCCCACGCACTAAAAACCTCGTACAACCACATCACATCTCACAAAATATGCACCAGTATCAAAATGATTTACATGAACACAGTTTATTAAACATATTGAAAACACTCATTCAATAATAATTCTTTGTTACTGAGGAACATTGTAATTATGTGCTGCCCAACAGTAATATCATATCTTATTACTAGAACCCTGCCTGTAATACTGTAAGTAGCATCTTACTAGTGTTACGCTTGTTTTCATTTGTTTGCATATCTGTAGGAGCAAAAATGGATGAAACTTTACACTATTTTAAATCTCTTCCAGATTTAAAATATAGCATCACAATAAGGTTTTTATTTGCTGGTACTGATTTTGAAGTTGTTTCTCAAACCAGAAGTCAGACAAAAAATTGAATAGGTGGTCAGTTATATCACGTTGACTCCAGAAATGTGCATCACCAGATAATAGTCAGAGGTAATTTCTAAGCTTCAAATTCAAATGTACAAAAGCCAGCCTGTTAACTGGATGGAGCTCAAGTTCTCTGAGAATGTGCAGACAAGCGCCTTGGCTGGAAACCAGACATGTGGATATTTCATCACCTGCCGGGCTGTGAACAGAACCAGAACCAGCCAAGGCCTTATCACCATTGCTACTCGAAAGAGGACCAGAGGCCACCTGAGCATCAATAATCTGATGCCAGTACAACAATGAAACACAGCTGTTACTTTCTGACTCCATCATTGCTCTGGAGAAAGGGGGTGGGTCCGCAGGCTCTCCACACAGTCCCATTCAGAAGCCAGGAACAGGGCCATTGCTCGTCCTGGTACAATTCTACTTGTGTTGAGTCAACTGCAGACTTTCCAGGCTTACAGGCAAAATATCCACACCCTTCATGAGGACTCGGAGATCTCTCAGCGCCCTGTCAGTTCAGGGAACCCTCTGGTGTGGTACAACCCATGCTGAAAGTTGATAGGGCCATCTAACACCAAAATGACTGAGCATTCATGTTATGTACACCTGCAGCCCCTCCAGGCCTGGAGCCTATGTAGCATAAAACACACAGGAATTGTTGAAAAATGCACACTTGTAAATACCTCACATGTAGTACCCCAAACCGAGAGGAAAAATAGGGATTTTTCTTCTGTAGGGAATGCTAACACCTGACAGGCGATGAGTGTGTTGATCAGGTTGCAGAGGCAGAGCCCATTGGTTAAGTCCGTTAATGGCAGAACAACAAGTGAATGGGGGTTATAATAAATGGGGTTGGAAAGTAGAAGAAATAAATAAAGACATGGGAATTGGCTGAAAAAGTAAACAGCTGAGTTCACGTAAAGGGAGAATATAAATTGACTAGAATTTGTGATCATGGGAACATTTTTTCTTTGTTGTATTGACTTAACGGTCCTAATTGTGGGAAATTCATCAGATTTTTAGAAAGAATGTGGTCCTTTTCATAAATATTTAGGTTTTTACCCTCTGTGTTACTTCTAAATTCAATCAAGGAAAAAAAGAGATTCTGCAGGGTCGAATAATATGTCAGAAACACGATGACTCAGGATATGACCTCTGATTCTTTTACTTTGGACCCAGATAACTGCGCAATGCCTGAACACTAAGGTTTATAGAGGTATTGAAGTCCGGGCATACAATGGTTATTGTATTTATGGCCATGGTATAGAGCAAGAAAGCTCAAAGTCTTTCTTCTGTAGAGGATTATTACACATGTTTCTTTTCTGTGTTCCAAGATGGAGACTGATTGTTGATGATGAGTCACTTATATTCACCGAGCTCAACCCTGACGTCTAGAAATTATGTTTATATACCACTAATTTGTTGTGTGAGTGCCTCACCATAAAAACATTTAATCATGGTTTAGATGGTACATTGTAGGGTAAACAAATTAAATTGATTGTCAGTTAACATTTTGCAGATATGTTAGAGCCCCTCTCCACTAAAAGAACAGGCTTGTGTTTTCTTATTTAACCTTCACTGTGCAGTATGATGTATGTGAAACATTTGACAGAAGGAGACTGTTGTCACCTTCATCTGAAAGTTTATCCTTGCTCACCTTAAAGGTTATACATATTTGATTTAAACCATTATATAGCAGAACATTTCATTAACAACATGTCCTCAATATGTTGATAAAAAGCATGATTCAGGTGGAGTTTAGTTTCTTTAACAACATATTTGCTGTTGCGAATAAGTAGCATATAAACAACATTTTTAGGAGATTTTAAGGTGTTGCCAAGCTGATGTTTTGTCTACGTGTTCAAAAGCGCATTAGCTTTACTGATATTTTAATGCCACTTGTGTTGTTTGCTTTTAGGTCTATTTTTGTGCATCTATCTCTGCTGTTGACCTGCATTTTAACTCTAAGCCCATTGTATTTTAAGCTTGAATTAAGTTTTAAAGCAAAAAAGATATAATCGTCTCAGTGTCCTAGTTTTACTTTAATATCAAATGAAATATACAAACCACACATGTAAAAAGGTTCAGTGGAGTGTGAGGTCACTAATTTAACTATAATGAATAGTTTCCTGGGGCGCCCTGAGTTTTCAGACATTCAGTTTGGACTCCATTTCCTGTTGTTTTATGAGTTGTGAGTCACACTTTTCATCAGGCAAGACAGAGAAAACAATGCCATGGCATGACCCTGCCTTTGAAGAGGCAGCCTCGTTGGACATTTGACATTCCACTGGCAAGGCATCACAGGTCTACTTTTCCACATATCAGCTTGTGCAACTCTGATAGTACAAGTGACCAGACCAAAATAGTCCATTACATTGATTGTGTTGGCCTGCACTACCACCAATTTCACATACTCTTCTTTGATCCGAAATTACACCTGAATGCATCTGAGATATGAAGTTCTACCTTTAATCAGATGTACAGACTAACAGTTCCTGTGGACTGCTCTTTCTCTCTCTCTGTCATACACCACTTCTCTCCATAGATATTTAGCGAGACTGTCAGACTGACTGACAAGAATAAGCTGCAATATTTCACAGAAGGTTGTCCCAGCTTGTGCCTGTTCATATAATCATTTCTGAGACTTCTGAATTCTGATTACTTTCACAGTCACAGATGCACCGTAAGCCAAGTTTTTCCTCAAAATTAAACACGAAGCAAACTTTGAGAAACCCAGCAAGTCGTTTGACAGCACTTACCGCTGTTTTGAGGACTTGTCTGGACTCCTCAAAAACTCTTCAATCCGGCTGGTATGAAAATGATCACATCCGCTACACAGTTAAGTAAATTTTTGGATGGCAACCATAAAACACACTTAACTACTTGATTTTTTATGAAATGCCATATCATAGATATTTTTTTATGTAAATGCTGGACATAATTTTGCAATCTGCAAGTCTATTGAAACACAAGGTATACGTATATGTGGGAGTAAAATACGTAAAGTAAAAATGAGGTTCTGACTATTGTAAAAAAGAAATTAAGAACAAAACTTCAGCTGATTGTGATGGAATTAATAATTCAAACAGGTATTTTTCCAGATAAAATGAAAACAGCGAAGGCCACCTGCTTTATAAAAATGGAGATAAACAAGAGTGTACTAATTTTAGGGCTTTTGCAGTTTTCAAAGATTATTGAAAAGTAATTTGTTTTAAAATCATAACAAATGATTAAGTGAGAACAAACAGATCAACATCAGCCATTCAGTAATGGAAAATTAACAATAGAGGAGAAGAGGTACATAAGGGTATTTATTTGGCTGGTATTAACATAAAGATCTATACTGGGCGCTAAATTTTTCATTTTATACGCTATATATTTATATTAATAATATAAGTATCAAGTATAAGTATTGCAGTTTGTTTTGTTTTCAAATGATACAAATTGTTTTTGAAGTGGAGATGATTCCAAAATACCTTTAAATAATACTGAAAATGAAATTATTAAACTTCAAATATGTCTTGAGGCAAATAAATTATTTGGATATTAAACGAGAGTAAAACCAAATTCATAGTTTTGGGGAATTGAAAATAATATATATGGAGTTAATATAGAAGTGCATTTGAAATAAAAAGTTTGGGTGTAACTAGAGATTATAAACTCTTGGAAATCTCGGAAAATTTATCAAACGAATATATATATATATATATTGAACTTTAAGCCACTTCAAATGTTGTTCTTCTAACTTATTTTACCATATTAGTTAAAAGTTTGGGGCAACATATTCAACTAATATAAATCCACTCTATATACTAAGAAAAGAACGATGCAAATAATAACTGGATGGGACCATATACCAACAAACTGTTTATCAAGTCAAAAGTAATACGACTGACACATTTAGTTGAATTCAAAACCTTACTAGTTATGTTTAGAGCCAAAAATTTATTTTTGCCAGCATTTTTTGAGGGATTGTGGCACCCCAATAGCTCACCTGGTAGAGCTGGTTCCCCATGTACCAAGGCTGAGTCTTTGTTGCAGCGACCTGCTGGGTTTGACTCAGATCTGTGGTCCTTTGCTGTGTGTCATCATCTCTCTTTCCCCCCTTTCCTGTCACTCTTTAGCTGTCTCTATCGATTAAAGACAATAAAAGAGGAAAAAAATATAAATAAAATTGTAAAAAATGTATTATGTTGTGTCAGATTTTTGCTTAGATTTTAGTCACATTTTGTGTTGGAAGTGAAGTGAGGAATCAGTCTTTTTTCATTAGGTTCATTCATCCATTCTTATTTTTTTCTAAAGCCACATGTAATAACACGTGCATATTTTTGTCATGCATGCAAGTATTCTGTCTGTGTATCTGTGCATCCTAATACACAGGAGAACATAAAAGGACAATCCCAGGCTACAGATACAATTACCTCGAAGGTAATGTCAGCCTTGCAGGAGGCTGAAGAAAAGTCATTTAAATGAAGCTGCATTTGTAGAACTGACAGGACATTCATGTTCTCTCTGTCTCTCTGACATCCTTTCATTATCATGACTGTTATGAGGGAAACGGATTTGACGTTGCTATGGTAAGGTTGTAGTACTACCTTGCACATTGCGGGACAGATTAGCCCATTTTTGTCTCAGATTTCTTTGGCTTTGCTTCCCGCTGAAAAAAGCTCACAGGCAGAATGCCAGGATCCCCGAGGAGAGTCCAGGCATTTGCCCTGTTGTCACCATGAGGCCACCAGAACAGGAAGAAACACATTAATTACCGAAAAACTGAAAATACAAAAAGAAGTAAAAGTGACACTTCATGCAGAGCTTGGCACCACGCCTAACACTTAGATAACAGCGAGACCAAAGGTTGAGTTGTTCAAAGCTGCAGCAAGTCCATTTGGCTAACTGAAATCACTGTTACGGGCAGACGCTGAAAATAACACTTTAAGGAAATGATCAGTGAGTCACTGAGTGTACGCACTTTATGCACACACACGAACGCAGACAACAGTCACTGACCTCATGAGACAGTCTGATAAAGTTATCAGACAGAAACAACATCTTGTGCATGAACCAGCTCCTTTTTATATTACTGTACCACCCACAGATTGAGGCAGAAAAAGGCTAAAGCTCTATCCCACACACCGTGGGCTCTTGGAAATGGAAAACTATCCTCCCTGGGAATAAAGAAGGACATTCAGAGTTGAAATAAAATGGCCCTGTGTGAGCCACTGAAACTAATCCTGTACTTTTTAATACCACCAGTCTTATCAAACTGTACTTCCAATTATTGCTACCTGCCATTAAAATTCCCCTAAAATATCAAACTCATGCACACTATCATTATTATAATTAACACAAGTATAAGGGGGGAAGGTTACTAAGAACTTTGTCTGTGTCCCGATCCCTCCTCCCCATTTCAAAAATACCAATTAGTATTTGTAGTATTTTATAAGATATCAGTCATAGGATAATGAATACATCTTCCTTATGTCTTTACAACAAAGCTGTCAATGTGCACTCCCTCATAATAATATCTTGCTTCTCAATGCACAATAGTAAAATCAATCCTCTAAACATTTTCTGGTGTAACTGTATTCTTCAATTGATTGTTCCCTTCCTGCTTGCTTGTCTATTGAGAAAATTATCAGCCTGGCACAAAAAGGAAAAAAACACTCTTTGTTACAAACAAAGAGCCTCTTTGTAAAGTCAGACCATCAGGTCTTTTGATAGACACTTTGATCACATTGATCTTTTTCAAGCTTGATCCCTCCCCTTACTTGACAACAGTATTTTCTCCTTTAACAAGTTTTTGGTGCACAGTTGTGCCAGAACTTAAACAAAGTTACTTTTCTCCAGCGTTAGAAGACAAACTTTGTAGGCAGTCTGGGAAAAGGTGATATAATGCCTGAGAAAATCCCTCCACCTACCATTTCTCTTCAGCAGGCTACCCCTCACTGACCCTGTTCTTCTGAGAGAGGACGATAAACAGGGTGGCACCAGCCTATATTCTCCTGAGAGAGGATGATAGAGACTATGGGATGCTGGTTTCATTAATAACTTTTCATCTGCAACCAAAGTCTTGCATTAAAACTTACTGAACCCAGTGAACCCATTTATTTACTCTGGTTTTAGTATTTGTTCCCCTCTGCTTGAGTTCTACTAAGAGATCTTAGACATACTTAGATCTTAGACTAACATCTTAGAGTCAAGAGTTATTGATCGTAATGTGAATGTATGCATCTTTGATAATCAAGATAATTCATTTGTTTATTAACAAAAAACAAAAAAGTACGATCTTTCATCTGTTTAATGGAGAGGTCAAATATACAGTGTGAGAAAAGACACAGGGCCATTTAATAGAGTTGCTGTCAAAGCTCTCACAATGAAGGACACAGAGGTGATACTGTATAATTGGCAAATATTCAATGTGACAGGCGGAAATTGAGTTTTAACCCTCTTGTTTGCTTGTGGCCTTTTGTTAATTTGTGCATGTAGGAGATATGAGGAGGTCCTTGAGACAGAGAATTTTCTTTCAACCTACAATATAACTCAAGCGCCATCACAATGATTAGAGAATTTATTGAGCTTGGCTCTAGGGATGGGTCTGGATTATTTTGGTCCAGACTACTTGAACAATTTTTGGATGAATTGCCTTGAAATTTCCTCCAATTTTGTATGGTCATAAATACTTGCAGAACTCCTAACATTCAAAAAACCTGCAACTGTACTTTGTGTTTAATGCAAATTAGCATATGTAATCTGTTCTCTGTGTAATCCAGTTTTTGGTTCTTTGGTTCTTAGTTGTTTCTTTTATATAGTTTAGGTGAGAGGAGCTCTTGGTCCTACAGCCCCATGCATGCCGTAAAACTAATTATCTGGTTACAGTGTTCTCTTTACATGTTGCTGGTCACAATTGGTTGAGCCAGCATTTTTATTTCGTGGCTGTAACGGTGCTAATCTGTTAGCATTGTAATGGGGAAGTAGACAACTGTCTGAGTCAGCAGTGAGGGGAGTTCCATGGATAAAAGGTAGGGCCCACTGATTTTCAGTTCAGTTTAAAAACAGTTTGTTAGCATGCTTATGTTAGCATATTGCTCAAAAGTCAGCTGTACCTTAATTCGCCTCACAGAGCCACGAAGATGGCTGCATACCTTTAGTCCTGTTTTATGATGAGCAGGAATCAGAAATAATGGCGAAAAAAAATTCTCAAGATTAATTGAGTTCATTGTGAATAACTTATTCGTATTGAAAGAGTTAAAAACAAATAAATGAAGACAAACTTCTGCTGAAGAGGAATGAACAGGAATCAGCCCTGTCCAGTCTCCTCTGTTCTCGGTCTAGTTCACAATGCTGGAAATTCCTCGCTTGACAGTTTGACTTTACTGTTATTAACACAGTAAATCCCGTCTTGTATTAATGGGTGTTTCTCTGCTAAGAGGAATGTTAAGAGCTGGAACTACAGTACAATATTTGACATTCCCAGTCAGAGAAAGTTGAATCTGTGAATCTGTAAACAAATTCAGTCTCTCGTTTTCCCACAAATGTTTGAGGGGATTCCAAGGAGAATTTGCATAAACACAGACACACACATACACCAACCAAGCCTCAAGAAAGCTCCCAAAACAAAATAAATGCCACAGGGGTCTGTCCATACTGAAAAACAGATCTGTTGTTGCTCAGAATCACAAAGGGCAGGCTGTGGATCAGGACGCAGAATCCACCTCTTTATATGACTTGACCTTTTTGTACCACTATCCACTCCTTTCCTTATCTCTTCTCCTCTCTCTCTCTCTCTCTCTCTCTCTCTCTCTCTCTCTCTCTCTCTCTCTCTCTCTCTACCATGCACTCACACACATTACATCATTATTGTCTTTTCTTTTTTCCTTTTGTTTCCCTACTTTCCAACCCTCACTACTTTTCCATCCCTTGCACAGATGAGATCATTGCACTGATTTCATTCCAGCTGTTACGGTTTGTGGGCATCTGGGAGACATTCCAGTGCAGAGCCACAGATCACAGGCCCATGCAGAACCTCTTGCCCAGCCGTGTAATTCTCAACAGCTGCAGAACATCAAGTTATGACACTTGAGCAAGGACACCAGCCATTCTCAATTAAATCGGAATCTGTACTAAGCAAAAGCACACAGTACGTGTGATGTAATTAGATTGTGCTGACTGCATAACTGATCAGACCACAAGGATTTTATAAGTGGAATTTATGAACTAATACTTTAACTAGTTGGACAACCCTCATCTTACCGCTATGAAGTCCTACATGTAGAGACACCTGTAACCCTCTGGGGACATCTAGTGGTCAGACATAAATTCTACACAGACGATACTCCAGAAAAATCTTCACATAATAATTTAATCCTTTTGTTTTGTTCAGACTAGCTTTACTTACTCATTGTCTGGGGCCTCATGTGTAAAAATAATAATCGCAAAAATATATATATTTTCTTTTCACCTTAATAAACCCAATGTATAGAAATAGTATTGATGTGACCCCAAACATAACTTATTTTCAGTAAAGGATTTCTGAAATATGTTATCAGTTAAAAATCATGTTTATAAGTAATTCTCATTAAATTAGGAAAAGTGATGAAGTATAAATCTAATGAGCTGTTAAAGAGGCCCCCATGCTCTCCATTTTGTGAGAGTGAAATAAAATAAAAACCTGGACTTTAGACAAAAAACAAAAACTAACTGAAATTTCTTTCTGTTTCAGTTTCTGCCTTTTAACAGGCAGTTTTTCCTTGCCCCCGTCAGTGCTTGCTCATGGTGGTACTGTTGGGTCTCTGTAAATGTTATAAGGAGTTCGGTCTAGACCTGCTCTATTTGAAAAGTGTCTACACAAATAAAATTGAATTGAATTGAATTGAATTGAAATGATATGTTCTTGTGTACCTACAAAACATATCAAATAAAAATATACAAGAATATATCTTTAGTTTTAGTCTTTGTCAGTTTGGTCGGATTTGTCAACACAACAAGCAGGAGGAGACATTAGTGCATAATGTTTATTGAGGACGTCCACATGTGTGCGAGTCAACTGCCTTGAACTTCTTCAATCTGACAAAATACCCCCCATATTATAATAAAAGCTAAACTAAAACTAAAAATGTTTAAACAATAAAAACTAAACTGAAAGAGGCAAACCCACTCTGGAAAGTCACTGAAGCTAAACTGAATTCAAAACGAAAATTAAAAATTAATGAAAAATACAAAACTCTAATAATTCTGTCATAGCGTCAGTCTTTACAGATTACAAATAAGTGTTTATAAGGCTGTTGGAAATGAGTATTCTCCTTTAATACTTTACGAAAGAAAAAGAGAAGCTACACGGAGTACCATAAAACTTAAATGAATCTCCCAGGCTTTTATTTGCTTCAATCACTGAACTCAACCTGCCTATATTTGGAACAGGAGTCCATATGGCACAGGCTTTCAGTTCTTTTTGCACAAAAACTCTTGCTCAGCAAATATGGGAAAGTATTTAAGTGCCTTAATGGGAATCCTATATTTGTTCATATATGCTGACTGGTGCAGGCTTCACACACAAAACCCAAGATCATCCTGTGCAAGATTATTACTAATTTAATTTATTACTTACTTAACTCAAGGATTGAGTTCCCCCACAAGGAAGGTTTTTCTACCTCGGTCAACATACTTCAAGAGTTCTGTGTGCCCGAAACACACATGTAATTTGTAATCTTGCAACAAAAGGAAACAGGAGACAGATACAAACCACAAAAAGTTCATGTTCTGCCCCTACTCTTACCAGCAGAGGGAAACCAACCAACCACAAACATATAAATCATGAGACTAACAGTTTTGTCATTGTATGTTTATGCTACTTCCTGACAACACACACACACACACTATACAGGAGGCTACCATTGATCATTGTCCATAAAAATATTTTGTGGTATTCACACCTCAATCATTTGATGAATAGATTCTGGGCATGCTGACTTATATTTACAGTATTCCAAGGTCACAGATATGCTGAGTCTAAACAAATTAGAATGAATAGACAATACACAGGAAAGTACAGAGAGATATAAGAATCAGAATCAGAATCAGAATCAGAAATACTTTAATAATCCCAGGGGGAAATTACTAATAGAAAGTCCTTGTCGATTTCTACCACTCAAAACCTGATTCAGTCCTTAGGGAACTCTGGGTAACTCAAAATGGTTTCAGTCAACCTTCTCAATACATAATTATAGAATGACTAAAAGAAGGTAATCCTTTTAAAGCTAATAAAGTGACATTTGTGACGAAACATTTTTTTTCAGTTTTTATCAACCTGCCTGTCACTATGTCTTTCAATAATTATCTTATATAGTTTATCTGTGTATGTATTATGTTACTTTAATTAACGACTTTTGCAATTTGTGTGAGAAATACATGTTCAGGTGTGGTACCGCTCTTGTCCTCACATTTAAAGGACCAGTCCTTGAGAAACCCAGTTCTTTGTCTGTTTACCTATTTGGGCCATGTCCCATCTTCTGACCTGCTCATGTTTCTTTTCATTATTCATATCTCAGCCGCATTGCCCCATTTGTTGTCCATTTTATTATTATCCCAGGCTTCTTTACTTTCTGCCCTTCCCACGTTTCACTTTGAGGATGATGGTGAGCGGTAAATGGATTGGCCAACCGGTTTTAATGATAACACATGAATGGCATGCAGACTAACATGTCTTTGTGACATCATTGTGATACCACAAGGATAAATCACATGCTATTATAGAATGTTATAATACATGTAGTTACTTGATCTAAGTAAATATTGCAGAAGAGGGTTCCTTAGATGTCTGGTATTTTGATCCTGTAGCTATTAAAATCCCAGGAAATAAAAAATTAAACAAAATGTGAGAACTGAAACAGAAATTAAATACCAATGAGGAATTGTGTAAATAACGTGATGCTACACCATGTATAGCTTCACAACTTTGTTAGGTATTGCAACACTCTTTCTTTGACAAACAAATGGCAGAAGTGGCTCTCATAACACCCTGATGTCTCCATATCAGCACCATTAATTGGTAAAACACATATGAGGGTACACACACAACCGAATACAACGGGGGGATATATAATAAAAATACCATATTTTGTGATCTCCAGTGTTGTTATGTTCGCGGAAAGCAGTGTACTCAAAGCCTCAAAGCACCTGTAGCCCTATTGTATGTACCGTAAGATAATTATTAACATTAAATAAGGAAGCAAATATTATAATGTTGTTATATTGTAACATCCATGAAGGACAGACAAACCATAATACTTCTTCATATAGCCTATGGAGGATAATGTTTACTATCTTAATTTCATAGTTTGTTCTGTAATTTGGTTTTTAATTGTCATATAATCACAAGATAATGAAAATACTAGGCTGCAATCTAGTGCCCTGACCTATAGCCTATACACTGTCACAGTCAGGAGCAGTACTTTGACATTTTAGTCTCATATGTCAGAATGACTAATTATTAAGAGGGTGTAGTTTCTCTCTTACACGTATAGTTTAAACAACAGTGTGACAGTGAAGTAATGTGATTCAAAAATGTGCCGCCGGTGAAAAGTTTAATGCCTTCAGTTAACATTTGTCGGCCTTTTATTCTGAAGGATCTGGGCTGGAAGATGGGCACGAGCAATTAAACGACCACTGGATTTCTCGGAAAAACGCCCAAACTTTTAAAGTTTTTGCCAGAGAAGTGAAAGAAGGTCTGTATTATTTTGAGAATTATCTCCAATTGCCCCCCCCCCAAAAAAAAAAAAATAAATAAATTATTAGCCTATTGTTATTATTATTATTATTATTGGCTATGTGATCTCCTGCACGTAACATAACATCAGTGCAGTATAGGCTACGTGTGTCTTTCATTAGGTGGTTACAGCATTGCAGTTTTCGTAAAATAAAATAAAATGTAACACTGACATAATGCTCTCATGAGATTTTCCCCTCATTACAGGATTGCCCAGTGTAACCCAATGTGGGACAGTTCAAAAAAGGCTCTGAGACATTTCGGAAGGCTTGGCATTAAACAGGTAATAAAAGCTCCTGACCAAAATGAAAATGAAATAGGAAACCACTCAGCCTGAAAACAGGCTAAACAAAACTGGTACAACAAACAACGTTAATATTACAGGGTACAGATAAGGCAATGAAACCCTTACACTTAGGTAAACCACTTAAGGCACATTAAGTGGAAGTGGGTATAAGGTGTCTGAGTACCTCCGCTCATGTGGACGCCTGGTTGGAAAGCGAAGTTCGTCTGGACTTTTCCACTGTAGGCGATGTGGGGGAATTTGTCCCTAAATGTCAGTGGGCCGATGTCACTCACATAAAGCTCGCCCTCAGTCGCAATAGTCGCCATTCGTTCTGGAGATTGGTGTCAAGGTAAGATGGCTTTTGATTGATTTGTTGAACTTGTTTATAAATAGACAATATGCGAGATTAAACGAGGAAATGAACAATGTGTAGCTGCAGTATAGTATATGCAGCGGATAAACTGTGTGCGATTAATACCCATACATGGTTCAGTCCAAGTATTAGGAATTAAAGGGTTTTTATTGCTGATTAGTATATTTTGCGTTTGTGTTTGAGGTGGTGCTGATGAAAGTTAATGATAAAGTTGGTGTGTTTTAACTTTGCATGGATGAAAACATAGCTAGTGCTTCTTTATTAAGTCTGTTCAAAGGCAGTGATTTTAAAATGACTCTTAATTTTGACTATATTGATGCAAACTGATGCATGATTTACAATTATTGAGATCATTTCCACGTTTTTGTATTGTATTGTATTGTCTATGGACTTAAATTAGTGCATTGCCTAATTATGAAAGCAGTTTTGTGTTATTAACTCAAGATGTAATGTTTCTGGGTATGTGCATTTAAGAGTCATAACTGTACTGATTTTGTTTATTTGTTATTTCCCATCTGCTCTTTTTTTTTCTCTCACTTTTATTTCCTTATTTTCACTTTATTACCTCATCACTTCCTCTCTGTTGTTATTCAGATGAAGTTATATATTTTCACCATCATCTGTGCGCTTTTACCATTCAGTCACCAAAACCCTAGGAGCCACTGGACTCTGCTGCCCCACAGTATGTTTGATCTCAATGAAAACACACTACTGATTCCAAGTTCAAATCATTCTTCCTTAACATCACTTTCAATTAATTTGTTGTCCTCTTGTTAGCTTTGGTTGTGGAGGTGGATGGCTCTATGGGCCAGCAGCCCCTGAGCTGCCTGGAGTCACCAGAGGAGCTGGCGAGAAGAGTCAACAAGAGCGAGGATATATTTTGGATGAAGAATGGAAAGAAGGAGCCACAGAGAGGAAACACATATCTGGTGCAGCTGGAGGAAAGCTTAGGAGGGGGCAACTACACCTGCCACAACAAGGAAGGATCACTCCTCAATCACACTGTGGTTCTGATCCAAGAGGAGGATCATAGGAAGATTCTTGTGAAAACTGACCAAGGTATGGTGTCATTTAAGATATTGCACTGTCACTCTTACACAGCAGTTAGAACGGGGGAAGTACAAAACAAATCCAAGTATTTCAACTGATTTTTTGTTGTTTGTGTTCCCATCTCTGCATGTTTGTGTGTCTTTTCTCATCAGAAGACTATTTGAAGTGTTCTACTCGAAATTACAACGGAGAGTTCCACTGCTCTTGGACCTGGCACAGCAGTCGTGTTGGCAAAGTAGCATTTATCAAAGCTCGACGGTAAGCTCACAAACTGCTGAAATGTTTTCTGTTTTGCTCTCCAATAATAACACAGACGCATTCAGACTCATGTCAGAGCTGAGACTACACAGTGACACCCATAAATACCTCCTTATGAAAGGAAACTTAGCTTAGTCCTTTTTTTTAATGTAATTTAGGGATCAAGGTCATGTCTCGGGATCAGATATCATGTAAAAATAATACAGCTGCATTTTCAGGAGCTACTCCTTCATTTATTTGTCCATGAGAAGTTGTTACGGCTTCTTGGCGTGAAATCAAAACCCCAAACTACAAAGTCAGTGTGTCTGCTGAATAAAAAGACATATTTTTTGCTATTTATTGCAGTTTTTCTGACGAAGGAGTCACCCAGTGTTCTGTGGATACCAGCAGTCAGCGTTGGGCGTGCTCTACAGGTGAGAGTAACTTCAGCTGCTCAGTGGACGACAACGGACACAGTATCTTGTGCGTGGACGAGCAACACTGCCCCTACGCCGAGGAGAATCAGAAGATTCACATCACTGTCTACTTGAGAACTAAGTACTACCTGGTAGAGAACTACTCCAGGCGCTTTTACCTGTCAGAAATAGGTCAGACATCTCAGAGGCCGGGATACTTTTATTTATTTTACTACACATAACGCAGTGTTCACTCATTCATCTCTTTATCTGTCTTTTGCTTTCACCTTCGATAGTGAAACCTGACAAGGTGAGGATCAGTAAAGTCAACAATACGATGATAGAGTGGAGTTACCCAAGCTCCTGGAGCAGTCCCTTCTCCTACTTCCCCCTCATTTTTCAGATTGCACAGCTCAAGGGGAGATGCAAAAGGTGTGAAAACCCATGCTCAAATGCCACAAAGGTAAAAGGACCATACTGAGTGTAAATGTGAAGATAAATGTTGTATAACTTAAGTGATGTAATGTCTTCTATTTTTATATCTCAGACATTGACAGTGCACTCTCCAGACATTTGTCAGTTTGAAGTCAAGAACAAAGCTAAGGCCATCTGTATCCGAGCTAAGGATGCTCTCTGTAACTCACAGTGGAGTGAGTGGAGCCACTTCAGGTCAGTGCTTCTCAGTGGTATAAAGTGGGAGATTTCCCCTATAACGCTTGCCAGATATCCTCAGTGGTTTCCTACTCTTTTCCGGTCACCTGACTCTCCTTTCGCCTGCAAACCAAACTTTGTATATTTTCTCAGTAGCTTTAATTCAGATTGTCCATTGTTTCCTCATAGCCTTACTGATCCAATTGTACCTTTTCCACTTGGTCTTTTTTGCTTCTTTGAAATGACTCTGCTTCATGTAACAAGTTTTGATGGTCAAAGTCTAAATTCTAAAAAAAAAACCTTCTTATATTACTGATTTTGCACTAATATACAGCATCAAGCTAGATCTCAAGAACCCAGCTGTGTAGAAAAGGTTGCAACTTATTTTGAATAGTGCTAGATGAATACATTCTGCTTGCTTGTTTTGAAAATAATTGGAAAATAAGAATGAATTCAGACTAATTTTCTTATTATTTGTATTCCAGTACAGATTGAAGAAAGGCAAGAAGAACAAAAACAACAAACAGCAGTAACATGTTTTTATAATGCTTTTCTATATTTGTATTTATCTTATCTTATATCATGGTGTGTGTAATATGTGCTATGTGCTAAACTATGCTTAATGATAACTGAAAAAATAAAAGTTTTATTTTGTTTCACTTACAATTAAGAGCTTCATCCTTTCCGCATCCATAATTAGAAGAAGAGTTTCTTTTTAAAAATTGAACAGGAATATTGTCAAAGTCTCTCAAGTTTTTATGGAAACTTTGTACAAAATTTTCTATAGTTCCACATTTCTGTACTGCCTTCAACACAGCCTGTAATATACACTCAACTTACCTTGTACCTTTAGAAGGGAACGGAAACCTCAATAGTTGTTTCTATTTGACCAACAAACAAAAGGTTTAAATGACATCAGCTGCTCAAAGTTTCTTGGCTTTTCCCTAACCTGTTAGGTGAGAGTGTGGTATTTTGGTAGAAACTCTCCTCCTCACGGTGCAACAAATCACAGAATGGTCGTTTAGCTTTGAGCTAGTTGTCGCCTGTTCTCTAGAAGAAGATACTGCATGCATGGTATTTCCTCTGTTACAAGCCAAAAGACACATGTTGTTTTTTATGTTGTGTTTTCTTCCCATCTCTGTCTCTCTGTCCTTCTCTTTGGTGCAATGGCAGATACATCTGCCAAATCAAAATCTTTCCAGATCACTCTGCATCTGCTTTACATCATTAGGGTAGTGAACAACCACATTATTACACTGGATCAGCTGACAAACCACATAACTCAAAAAATCTAAAAATTATAGCCTGTAAACTGATGTAAATGAGGTAATGGAATATACATAACAGTAATATGAAAACTAAGCTCTCAGACAAGCTTCCTCAATATTCGTATGACGGGACTCTCACAGTATATTAGTAGTTGTATTTATCAGTGCATTTACCTCTAACTGTGACAGAGGGTGATGCATTTGACATTTGCTATTAGTTAACACCAGTCTCTGCTGGCATCTTCATGCTAGTAACATTTTCCTCTGAGAGCAGAGGAAGTGCTTGTGTTAGTCAGAGAGTCCTCTGCTTGTGACCACTGCATCATAGTGAAGAGAACTAGGTGAGGGGCTTACGACTCCCTAAAATGAAGCGGTTTCTGGTCCCCCATCACATGTTATGGCCTTATAGTGGATTTAAATTGTGAGCAGTTGAACCAACAAGGGATTTTGTTAGTAATTTTGATTACAAAAATAAGAGATGCAAAAACATGTAAATATACAGAAGTTTTTATGAAACAAAGAAATTATTGTAATAAAAGTATATTCTCAGATTGTATATTGAATATTACAAGAAAAAATTTAGAAGATATTGTGTGTAACAGCAATATTGTTTTTCACTGTTATTCCCCTCATCATCCATCAGTTTGTGACCCTTCATATTTCTCCAGTGGGGAATAATAAGTGCAAATGTTTGGTAATTTAACTCGGTTTTATCCAACTTTATACTATTCTACTACATATCAGAGGGAAATATTGTACATTTTTATCTACTATATCTATTTGACAGCAAAAGCTCTGAATTAATGCTCAGAATAATAAAAACATATGATCAGTTTATTAAATATGCATTTCTATAGATGAGCTTACCCAACAGCATACGTTTTATGCTTTTTACATAATGAGTACTTACTTTTGATACTTTAAGTACATTTAACCTCCAATGCTTATGTACTTTTACGTGAATGGCTTTTGAACGTGAGAACTTTCAATGTAGTGTTGCCACCTTTACTTAAGTAAAAAAAAGTCTCAGTACTTCTTCCATTACTGCATGGAAGACTTCTGGTCTAATGAGTACACACGTGATGGAGGATTAACACTGATACTGACTAAATTCAACCAAAAACGAGGAGTAAAAACAACTGATTGCTACTCTGTCCTACAACACTTGAAAGCATCACACATCAGTGGCCTGTAAGATGCCAGTAAACCAGGGCACGTTGTGAGGCAATCAAACTAGGACAAACTGCATGCTGTCTTATTTTTGTAAAATCTATTTAATCATAGATTTATACCCTATTATATAATTCAGTGGATAAAGTAAATGTCCCAAATGTAGTCTATGACATATAAGAGCTGTGGAAAGAAACATTTAGTTAAATACAGTATTATTTTAGGGTAACTAAGCCTCTTTCAGAGATAAAAAGGAGATTCCAGTGCAGTATATTGGCGAAGTGGACCAAAATAAATTTATTATTGAAATTCCACATCACATGTTAGAAAAACCCAAACATAGCTGGTATGATAATAATGGTAAGCCACTATTTGCAGCCCGTAACTTGGTCAGGAGTTTGTGGTAAACCGTCTCTTCACTTCCCTGTCATAAAAAGCAGAAGAGGTAAAGTGATGTAAGCACTTTCAGGGGACGACATACCATACGTATAAAACATGATACCCATGACCTTTGATTTTTTTATTTTTTTATTTTTTTGCTTTACACAGGGCACTTTTTGTTCTTCAATTTCCCCCTCTATAAAAAAGTCAATGAGCAATGTGGCCTACTGATACTGTAATTCATGCTGTGTGGCACTGGTGAAAGGGACATTTTACATCTTATACATATTTCAGTATGTCCATAAATCTTCTTGTTCAATTTACAGATTATGCAGTTGATCAATGTAAGGTCATTTGTATTATATTGAGTTCTTGTATTTAAAAAGTATTAATATTTTCATTAAATTATCAATCAATCTGCTAATTGATTAAACTATTTCTCTATATTGTCTTAAAATAGTGATCAGTAATCAGTTAATTGAATTAAAATATGAATATTTCAGCTCTAGTTTACAGGATGTTTAATGGGTTGATGTTATAATTATGTATTACAAGCAGCAATCCACAATTCACTACACATATGTCTCAAGAAAAAAGCTTACCATGGATAAGAAGAAGGGAACTTGAGATATAAAAGACAGTGATGAAGGTAATTGATTGTATATTATGAGTAATGGAGAGTCAGCCATGACCTTGGCTCCAGTCTCACTATAATGATGAATTGTGTGCAGCTTGTCTCACATGAGCCACAAGGTTTTACTGGAACAAACGTGTCTGATTAATAGAGGTCAAAAGGTACAAGTGAAATCAAAGTGTTTGATTGTTTTAGGCAGCCATCAATACACAGCATATTTATTGGTCAATAAAATAAAATAAAAATTGATTCCCAGTCCTGAAGATGTCACTTTGTAACATATGGAGCTCCTCTCGTTGAATAGCTGAACAGACGTCATGTTAGGAATTGGGATCGAGAAACATTTTTGCTGGTCTGGAACATTAAACTAGGGGGAAAAGTTCTGCATAACTTAGATTTAGTACATAAAATGTGGTCAAAATAACAAATCTAAGTTTTATGATATGTTGTGGCATTGAGCAAAACTTCACACAAAGAAGCAAAACAAGGCGTGACCGTCACATTTTTTTGCTGTTGTTGTTTACTTTTAATGAGAGAAATGTGAACTGTTTGGTTTAGTGGAAGGAATTAAGGATTTCCAGCTACTCACCCAAGTGACATTTATCTCAGTACACTTTATAGAAGAAATGCTGTACATCCATGAAATAGGTTAGGAGACTGTGACCCATGTATTTCCAAAAGAGCTCTAGATAAATCTGATAGTTCAAGACGGAAAAACATTTACTGTTACACAGGCCTCCTCTAATCGTATCTTCTATTACTTACTTGATTGCTGGATAAATTCAGGTTTTTAGGCCTGATTAAAAATGATTTAATACAACATAAAAAGGAGTTTTTGGCGGAACCGGTCACGACTCACAGACGTATGCAGCTGGTGAGGAGGAGTTGCAATTAGGCACTGCTTCATTTTAATGAGCCACAAGCCAAAGAGGCCGGGAGCCACTCGGAGTAGTCAAACTAATCAAAATGAAGCCCAGTCAATTTAAATCTTAGAGTGTATGAAATTGTGTTAATTTTTCATTAAAAACAATATCATTTATATAATTAAAGCACATTTTGTTTCGACAAAAGCCCACGTTTTTGTCATTTTGAAATTAAACACATAGCTGAACTATCTTACTACTCAGAAATTAAATAGAGAACTTTCCCTTTGGTGGGTAACTTTTCCCCACAAAAACTAAAATTTCACACCTCTCTGTAACTTTAACAAAGAGGAGTATTCAGTCAGAAGTCCAGAAAATGTGAAGGGATCTTGAACGCTTTCAAGACAAAAACTGATTTAAACTGAACCCTCATGATTTATTCCAACATATCCTCTGATGTTGCCTACAAGATCAATTACATTCACAACTTGTTCTCATGAATCCACAGTCTCACTGACCTTGTCCACATTTGTTGACCATGTTAATTAATGGGCACAGAGAAACAGCAATTTGGGCAGATGGCATTTATCTGCATTCTACTTATTATGCAAGTGCTACATTTCAGAATACAAGTGACTTTTAGTGGACGAAAGATATTGTGAATTTAGTCGTGCAACGTCCCTTTAAAGCCACTAGATGGCAACATTGCACCAAATAAAGTGACAGGGATTTCTGCTCGCTAGGTCTTCGAGTCACCTGAAGTGGGAGAGGTCATCATTAGATAGTAGCACAGATGTGTTGCACAGATATTAAAACTGAAAAATAATTAATTACAATTTGTTTGTTTTTTTAGTAGTAGTATTAAATATTCCTTGTTGGTTTCCCCCTGATTTCATCTTTGTATCTGCTTTTTTCTGTCAATTTAGTAGGTGTAAAACATTTCCTTGCATGTTTTAGAAGCGACTAAAGTCTACAGACTTGTGATAACATTGTTTTTTTTTATATCAAGGACATTATATTCTGCTGGTATCTTGTCTGCATACTTAAATGGTTAACATCTAGGCTATATTTGTCTTCTTTTATGTTGACTAGAGAGCATATTGTTAGACATAAGGTCCATTCTCATAAGCATATGCCTGCTTTTTACAACTAGTCATTTTTATGAGCATTCAATTCAATCAGGCCATTATTATCATCAGCCCAACCTTTTGATTTACGAGAACATCTGGTGGTTGTACAGGAGCGCCTACAACTCCTTTCTGATCAGTTACTTCAAAATGTCTAATAGAGTTATAACGCGAGGGATTTTTATAGTCTTCGCATATGTGGACACTTGAATAGAAGTCGTCT